CTCTGTCCCTGGTGACACTTCACAGAAGGTAAATGGGCCGAAAAGGAGGCAAAAAAGCTAAAGCGGCAGGGCTGGTGCTTGCCGTGCCCTGGAGTGCAGCAGGCAGCTGTGCTGGCAGAAGGGAGGGGGTGGAAATGCAGCTGCTTGGAGCTGGTGTGGTTCCGGGACCGTTCTGCCAGTCTCTTAAACTCCAGAAAGCCTCAGGCAGCCTTAGACCACAACAGGTTTTGTAAGTCGCACAAACCCTTTCTCATACTAAAAATGAACAGCAGATAAACCCTGTCCAACGCTGGCTAATGCTCTCAGTCCAACAAGATCACCAGCTTGTTTCCTTGTAAAGGGATATTTAGCATCTAAGAATCTGTTCATAAGCTGCAAAATTCACGCAAGAAAGGCTGGGAAACCTAGGTCCTTGTGCCAGGGTGCCAGGGGCTTTCATATCAGGGAATAGAAACAGTTTGTTCTGCCTTTGCAAAAAAAACCCAAACAAAACAACAAAACCCAAAACATCCAAAAAACAAAGCGCATGCTCCCCTTCACCTGTCCTTCCATTACTCCGAGCAATGCTGGCTCCATCCACTGCACGGGCTCGGTGAAGTATGAGGTACACGTTTCACGGCCATCACCACAAAGCTGAGCAGAGTTCGTTACCCTCTTGTGGGCAAAGGCTGTCGGTCCACTTCCTTCCGTGTGGGACAAAATGCTGGAACTACGGAATAGAGCGCGCCTGCCCTCCACGACAGGGGGGAAAAAGTAAAACAGTTGGTTTTTTTACTGGGGAAACCTACAGATGACAGAAAAAAGGGACATGGACCTCTCGACAGTAAGTAATTAAGCAGGATTACGAATCCTACATGTTTTTAGTTTAGTCTAGGAGGTCAGCAGGCACTGACTCCGTTCAGGATTGCTTCTTAACAAATCTAGTGATTTGTGTAGTTTTGGGCTCTGCCCCACAGCTGTATGCTGTCTTTTATATAGATCCATTTTTAAACAATTCCTGCCCACTAAAACTTTAAATCTACGCTCATATACTTGAAGAAACCTACACCTAGGCAATAGCAGAATTATTCAATTTCACTTTAAGCAATCCATAAAAGATAGTTAAAATGCAGTAAACCCCAAAATCTACAAGAAGTTTATTCTGGAGAAACTGATTGTCGAAGACAAACTAGGAGTTATGGTTTCAGAGCAAGCAACTTCACAGAACCAAGCAGAATTATGCCTGCCTACAGAACACGGCAGGTTAGGCTGCACAAGTGCTGCACAACTTCAAGGAACAGAAGTTTTGTATTTCACAAGATACTTTTAATTTGTCTAATTTTTTGTGGTGTACATTGTATGGAAACTTAGGGAAGAGCTCATCCCTGTCCTGAAAATAACAACATGCCCATTGATTTACACGAGCTATTTTTCTCTTGAGTCAATTTCAAAATGACATTTAATGGAGAAATATAAAAGGTTCAGTACCTGCACTTCCTGCACCTGTAGAGAACCTCTGTGTTTGAAGTTTGACATACACTGGTTGGATCAACAGCAAAGACTTCTCGGGGCAAGTCTTGAAGTTCTGCAGAGAGGTCAGTGCGAAGTTGTGAATCAGATCAATGCAGTCACGCTGCATTTCTGTGGGTCAAGACAGCACTGCGCCTCTGCCCCACTCACGGCATGCAGAAGCCACGTTCTTCGCATTAGTTTGTCCACTCACCAATTCCATTAGATAAGCTGAAAATGAAAGAGCCTCATCCCACCACACCTAAGATTGGGAGTCACATAATGCAAGGAACTGGGATCTAGACTTTGGTCTTAGCAATGGTAACATAGTTGCATTTTGCTTTATGTTCTCACTTAAACAGAAAGTAAAGGCAGAGTAGGAGTTAAAACAGTTCTGCCAATCTTGGAATGCGCATACAGAAAGTCAGCTTACAAACGGGAACTGCTAAGGAGACTGACACATAAATGGAGAAAGCACTGTCATGCTGAACGTGCAACACAGATCTTGCAGAACAGCTACCGATTATTATTTTATTATAAAATTTCACATATGCACACATATCTACTACACTCAACCTTTTGCAAATTAAAGTATGAAAGTTTACTTCTCATCACCTTGATTTCAATTTTATCTCAGTTTTGCATGTTATTTTTATTTTTTTAATTCTGTTGACTTCTTTTTAGAGGATCTTAAGTTTTCCTAGCCAGGTACATAAAAATTAGAAAACATATCAAATTGACCATTTCTGAATTTTGCTTATGGAACTTATTTCTCAGGCATGTCTCAAAGACACTTTTTTCCCCCATTGATGAGCTACAATTCTCTAGAAACAGTACGATATAGAATCATAGAATCATAGAATCA